TGAGTCCTTGATTGATCAATATTGCATGTCTCTATCTGTTCATGAGAAACCACTTTGAAGATATCAATATGTAATATAACAAGCATTGTTAATTTCCTACCACTTTGTAACTCTGTATTGTCTGTACTGTTCTTTTGCTATTTTGTAAAAGGTTGTCTGTCTGTTAATGTTTTCCTCCTTTTATTTTTAAAATAAATGAAAAAAAAAAGAATCCCAATGTGGCCTCAGCTTACTGGGTGAGAAAAGAGCGAGGCTATAGTTAAGGTGGGAGATGGTGTTTGGGTAAGGATGATGTCTTGGTTTGCTCCACATACTGTACTTACTACTAACTCTACTTGGAGGCAATGTAGGTGGGAGAGTCAGAAAAATTAGAATATATTTTCAGTTTCGGAATGGGATTAGTACTTGTAAAAGCGCTCAAATCAGAATTTTGTTACAAAGAACAAATAGCTATTTTTAAGTTTGTCTTCCAAAGTCCATCATTTGCTGAAGATAATGACTTCTTAATCACTTATTTCTCATGGACTTTTACAAGATATTAAATTCTTCAAAATTATCTACAGGCACCACAAGTATGTTAGAAAGTTGAATGAGGTGATAGAATAAACTAGATATTGGCTTGAAGTTAGTAAAATTGTATTAAGCTTGCCGGGGATATAGCTCAGTGGCATAAGTGCCTGCCTGGAGAGTGCAAGGTCCTAAGTTTGATTCCTGGTACTAAAAAAAAAAAAATTGTATTAAGCTTGATGAATTGATCGATAATCGTACATCATGATTTATCTGAATTTAAGAAGCATGACTTTCAAAAATCAATTTTATCTGTTTTTTTTGTTTGTTTGTTTGTTTTTTTCCGGTACCGGGAATTGAACTCACAACCTCGCACTTGCCAGGCAGGTGCTGTACCAATGAGCTAAATCCGCAGCCCCTTAATATCAATTTTAAAGTAAGATCTTTAAAATGAAGGACATAGAGATTTTTTTCTGAAAAATTGAATATAAAATTTAAAAATCACTTCTGTTATTTTCACAGGTGGTACCACAGAAACATTACTAGAAATCAAGCAGAACATCTATTAAGACAAGAGGTAATTCAATACATTTGTGAATAAATCTGTGAATATTTTCAAAATTTCTGACAGAGTACATTAAAAGGCTTTAACCACAATGGTGCATTACTTTTTATTCTTTTTAATTTTGAAATATTATCACAGCTTCATCCCTATTACACATTTTCTGATAAGTTGTAAGTCAGATATGTTTGTATCAGATCATGATTTCCGGTGGTTTTCATCATAATTTCAGAAATACATTTCTCCAGAAATAACTTCAACTTCAACATACTGAGAGTACATCATTCAAACACTCAGTTTGCCAGTACAGTCCACGGTTGAGTTGCTCGTACAGCCTTTGCATCAAAGTAATCAAGAGACTCTTTAATCTCATGAACACAGCCTAGACACATTAAAAACACAAGCTTAGAAAAGACACGGTGCCTTCAGTTTCTCTGTTCTTTGGAAACAAAGGGGAGAATACAGTAGACAGAGTATCAGACTCAGATCAAAACTACTCATTCAGGTCAAACCAAAACAAAATTGCATATAGTTCAAATTTCCCACTGTCGGTAAATACTAACCTTGGGGAAATGTAAAGTAAAAACTAGAAACTTAGTAAGAGGTATTATGTCATTATGCACTGTTTTCAGATGTTGAGGAAGCCTAGAGGTGATTGAGGAAGAATCTTTTCTGTAACTAAACTCGTAATGCTCTTAAGGCTCAGCATGCAGAGAAAACCCACTTTAGAGTGGCGGGGGCACACGGAGGACATGGGACAAAGATACAGCCTCAGACAATGGTGGGGTAGTTGTTGGACAGGTTTCACCCTACTTGCAAAGAGGAAATCAAGTGTGCCGGTATATACAGTATCTGCCTGGCACGGGCAACAGTAGATCCAGTATGCAGAATTGAGATGTTATGACAGCAGGCAGAACCAGAGAAGGAAAGTCCAAGTTTACAGCAAGCAACTTGGCCACAGGTGAGGTGGCCCAAACCATGCAACTGAGCATAATCAGCTTCTGCATCTAGAAAAAAGTCAGACAAGACAAAGTTCTCATTTCCCTACAGAGTCTAGAACAGGGAATGATGTGACAAACTCCTATATTAATATTTAACAACAAATATTAACTTTTTTTGTTTTTTTTTTTTTTGAGACAGGGTCTCACTATGTAGTGCAGGCTGACCTTGAGCTCACTATGTAGCCCAGGATGGCCTCAAACTCACGGTGATCCTCCTGCCTCAGCCTTTCAAGTGCTGGGTTTACAGGCATGCACCTCCATGCCCTGTTCAAATATTAACTTTTGGCCATAAAAGAAACATTACATTATAGATACAGTTGAAGCCTATTCCATCTTCTCTTTTGTTTTCCTCCACTGTCCAGAGACAATAATGGTAGATGGATATGTTCTCATTTTGTTTATGTGTTTACATTTTACCATTCAACATAAAAGAGATCATATGTTTTTTTTGTTAAACTTCATGTTTTCAAAGTTCAGTCCTAGAGACACATATAGATCATGTACATTAACTGTGTAATATTTTATTGCAATATGAATACATAATATATCCAATACTCAGAAACATTCAAATAGCTTCTAATTACATGCAGTACTGTAAGGTACTTCTTTTAAATGTCTTCTTGTACACAAGGGCAAAGTGGAATTATTTAGTCATAGGATATGTACAGATTAATATTGGTAGATATTTTCTGGAAATGATTCAGAGTAGTCGACTTTTTGACAATAGCCATTCTTTCTGGGGTGAGATGGAATCTCAGTGTTGTTTTAATTTGTATCTCTTAAATGACCAGTGATACTGAGCATTTTTTCATATACTTATTCCCCATTTCTATTTCTTCATCTGAGAAGTATCTTTAATAGTATGTTTTTAAAATATGTTTTTAGCATATATTTTAAAATATTTTTCTAATTTATTTATTGTCTAATTTTTATTTTGTAAAAAAGTGTGCTTGCTTTCAGTTCTACTTAGTCCTGAGACATTTAAGATATATTCTTCTGGGTTGGGTTTCCTAATATTTTATTTAGCATTTGTCCTGTTAAGTTCAGAAGTGAATGTGGCTTGTTATTTTCTAATGCCTGCCTGGTTTTACTGGGAAGGTTATACTAGTATCATAAAATGGAACAGTTTATATTGGATAGAGGTAATTCACGCCTTGAAAGTTAGGTATATGAGTCTTGTAAAATGATTGTAGACATGTTGTTTTTCAAAACAGATAGACACATGACTACAGATTTCATTTTCTTTTCTTTTTGAGATGTTTAATAATTTATATTTACCTAGAGAATTGCTGACTTTTATATTTATTTTCTAATTTATTGCATAAATTATTCATAGCAGTATCCTATAGTTTTTATTTCTTTCATATATATTAAGACTCAGTGTGTTCATGTGATCTTAAACTGAAAGCTTTTGAAGTTTTCTCTGTATTTGTTCCTAAGCCACCAATTTACTTCCTTGTAGAAACTATTACTAGTTTATCTTGTGTCCTTTCTGAGATATTTAATGTGTATGCTAGGAAGTACAAATATACATTCTTGTGTTGCTATTTTCACACAAGCAGCAGCATGCTATGCAAAACCTTCCAAACCTTACTTTTTCACTCAGCACTAAATATTGAGAATCTTTCCATATCAGTAGAAAAACCTATAGGTTGGATATATCACAATTTAAAAACTAATTCTAGGTCAAAGACAATATACATTTCTAATTTTCATTGATGTTAAAATGCTCGTAATGCTTTTAAGGAGCATTAATGCTCATTAGGAGTTGTATAACCTTATGTGTCTACCACAAATATAAGAGTATCTGTTTTCCACAACCTTTTCAGCTAATATTTTGTATGAAACATTCAGATCTTTATGCCTCATCATGGTGTAGATTTAATTTGCACTTCTCTTATTCTGGGGATATTAAACATTTTCACATCTTAAATGTATATATTTGTAATTCCTTTTCTACAAGTGGCCTATTCATATGCTTTCCATAATTTTCTGTTGGGGTTTTGATGTTTTTCTACCTAGGACCTAGCTAGCTATGTTGAGGAAATTAATCCTTTGTGATATGTGGCAGTATTTCCTTTTTGCAATTATTTTATTGTGGTTTTTTTGGCATGAATAATAGTTGAATTTTAAACATCTGAATTTACTGGACAAATTCTTGTAAGCATTGAGGGTTTGTGTTAGAATTGGTTTCCCTACTCCAAGGTTATATAAATATTTATGTTTCTTTTTTTATTTGTTTTTTGATTTTTGTTTGTTTTTGAGATAGGGTCTTGCTATTAGTTCAAGCTGACCTTGAACTCACTTTGTAGCACAGGCTGGCCTGGAACTCACAGTGACCCTCCTGCCTTAGCCTCCCTAGTGCTGGGATTACAGGCATGTGCCACCATGCCTGGCAGAAGACTTATATTTCTTGACTGATTTAATAGTTTTATTTGGTATATTTATATCACTGATCCATTCATAATTATTTCTGATCTAAGGAGTGAGGTATGGATCTCATTTTGTTTTGCTCTAGTAGCTGCCAAATGTCCATCTTTTCTGCATTGATTTGCCATTTGCATCATAAACATGATGCATATTTTGTTTGCATATTTTTGGTACCAGGAATTGAACTCGGGACCTTGTGCATACCAGGCTGGTGCTTGTGCCACTGAGCTGTATCCCTAGCTCACCATATTTTGGATTATATCTGGACTTTCTCTTTGGTTTCACTGGTCAATTCACCTGATTGTGTACTGCTGCTACACTGATATAAATACTTAACTTAGGTTTTCTGCGGTGTGGCAAGTCTTCTTCATTATTTTTCTCTTTCAAAAATATTCTATATACATGTGATTTTTCTCCATAGAATTATCTTGTCATTTGTAAAAATCATTCCTGTTGGTTGCATGAAATGTACAGATTGATATAGGGAATTTTTTATTGTAAAGAGAATAAAACATAATAAAATAACAACAACATAGACAACAACAAAACAAAGCAAAGACAATAAAAATTATACAGGGTTTCAAAACAAAATACAAATTAACAGTGCTTCTTATATTACATATTATTATCTTCAGTGAAGTTGCTCAGATTACCAGATATAAGAATGGAAGGTGGATCAATCATTAAAGAGAATAAAAACTAAAAAAAAGATATTAGAAATGATACAGAGCTTCACCATACAAGATGGTAGGAATTCACCAGTGGTTGTTACATTGCATATTGTTGTCCTCAAGTTAGATGTTCAGATCACCAGATATAAGCATGCAAAATAGGTAAAAAAAATCTTTTAAAAAATTTTTAAAAATTTAACTGTTTCTTTCAATAAACCACCAGACATCAGCAGTACAATTATCCCAGCCATCCTTCTACATATATATATATATATATATATATATATATATATTCCCTTCTTTCTTTCCTTTTCTCCTTTCCCTCATCCCAGTTGTCCTTTCCTTTGAGCAGTTTCTTTCCATTTCATAATATCTATTGTACATTTTCAGTTTTATTGACTCAGGTTTTTACACCAGGAGACAATACGATATTTACACATGTGGGTCTTATTTATTTCACTTATGAGTATGGTCTCTAGTTGCATGCATTTACCTATAAAAGTATCAAGTTTATCTTTTTTACAGCTGTACAAGAAAACATTGCTGAGGAATACAAGTTTTTACTCTTCTTATTATGTATTTAATTCATCTAAGTATTTTTGCCTGAAGGAGGGACCTAATTTTGGTTTTTCCTTTATGAATAATCAGTAAATGAATCCTAGAATAAATTGGTTCCCAAATTCCACTGATTTGTGGTATCTGAAAAAATTTCCTAACCATCATGGGAACTGGGCTGGGTCCCAGACAGCTTTGGGAGACTTGGTGACAATGCCCCACAACCCCATACACTCATGGGGGCCAAGCTGAGGTCTGGACAGCTTCAGGACCATCAGTGAGCCACCCTGCCCCTCCTGCACCAGAGTAGGGCCCAAGCTGAGCCCTGGACAGCTTCAGAAGCCTTGGTAAGCTGGCC